GAGACATAGCTTTCTATGTCTTAGTGAAAGAAACGGACTGCGTATCACTCTTTCCCCACAGAACGGGACTTAATTCCGATGAAAATCCAATTGATTTGTTAAGTACTTGTATTAGATACACATGACACAGTATCTTCCGTCATAACGACAGGTTAGCATTTATTTAACGCTTACTGCTATGTGGTAGGCACTGAACAGTACGCCACAAATGCATATTATCTCAGTGAAATGCAATACAGATATAGCTCTCCAAGCTTGACGTAGCAAATAAAATATGAAAGTTAGAAAAATCAGGACAAATTTGTCCGTGGCTGGTGAAGACGGGGGCAGCCAGGAGAACACAGATGCTGAGACAGAGGGATGTGTCTGGGAAGCTGACTGTACTGATGTCTCATCATACACAGGCAGAGGTCCACGTTCTCCTCCAGCCTCAGCCCATGCCATGTCTTGTCCATGCTGCCGTTTTCCAGCTCTTCCTACTGACTTTTATTTCACCCTTATTTCTGTTGGCAGGTTGTTTTTAACAGGAAGAGTAATGGTAGGAGGGGCTCACAGTGAGGACTCTACCCCGTTCTGCACTGCTGCCATTTTCTGTGCTCCTCCGGAGGGGCCTGCAGATGCTGGGGGCTCTAATTCTCTCTCTGTAATAGAAATGATTAGACTTGAATGCGTTTGACCTCGGGAGTTGGAGAGCCTGAAAGTGGGATCAGTTCGTTAGGCTACAGCTTCACAGCTCCCCACCTCCTCTCTAATACCTCATTTTAATAGGGATCAGCTCGATGATGAGAAGCTGGGCTGTGGCATCGCATTCCAACACATCCGATACATTTTGGGGTTATGAACTTCTTTGGGACATTTGGTTTAAATGCTTTGCATTAGTCTAAATTGAGTCTAAATGCTTAGAAATAAATCGACTTGCAGATTCTCTTTTCCCTTAGCTTCAGTACTTGCTGTTTCTTCGTTGTCACTTAAATGTCGCTCATCCTCTCGGTATGGTGATGGATTCCTGACTCTTGGCTTCAGGAGCCTAGAAGTGAACTTGCGATTCTGTGCACTGTTGTGTGCAGAACGATGGCCCTGCTTCTTGGATGCTAAAGAAAGAAAAAAAGAAAGAAATGTCCTTGCCAGCATCGTTTCTCTGGAGCTTTATCCTGTCTGTGCAAAGGATCATTCTTGTTATAACATCTCTCAAAGTGATTGAACAAGCAATTTTTTCCATTCTCTGATGCACTGTTAGATATTCTGAATGGTGATGACACTGCTCAGAGCAGTTTCGGTCTTTTCATTTCACTGACCCCGTGAGAGTGATGTCTGTTCTGTAAAGACGCGAAATCTCACGCTAATTTAGTGCCTGCCTGCCAGTCTGCCTGCCTCCCTCCCTCCCTCCCTCCTTCCCTCCCTCCCTCCCTCCCTCCCTCCCTCTCTCCCTCCTTCCCTTCCTCCCACCCTCCCTCCCTCCCCTCCCTTCCCTTCCTTCCAGCCCTCCCTCCCTCCTCTCCCTCCCTCTCTCTTTCTCTTTTTCCTACTTACAATCAGATAACAGATCCACGGATGAGCACCTTATTTAGATTTTACGTTTCTTCCTAACATTTATTTTAATTATCAGGTTGATATCTTTCAAAGCAGCCTGCTGTTCTGTTAAGAGTCCAACTCTGAAGGTTGCAGCAGTGCTGGATGAAGGAACAGAATTTCTTTTCACTCCTGGTATCCACACACCTCTCCCCTACACGCAAACCATCCAAGCCACTCCCCTTGAGTCTGCACATATTTTTAGCACATTTTCTGTCTGCGTCAACTGAATGATAGCAGTAAACAACAAAAATAAACAATGGCAGGTACTTATCAAATGCTTTGCGTAACTCTTAATTATATGCAGCTAATTCTAATTTTATATAATTATAATGGTAGAGGCTATGATTGTGTCTTCTTTGTGTCTAGATCTAGGAAAAGCTGCTACCCATGCACTTATGGAATTCTGGGGTGACGGTGATAGGCATTGCTTTACTGATGAACTCACTGCTTTCACAGTGATTGTGTACAACGTGAGTTTTGGGCGGGAGGGTTGAGTACTAAGAACAAAGAGGCAGTTCTCATTAATTATAAAGCTGCTAACATTATCTGCTTAGATAAGATATGTGAGTCTGTCTTCAGAATTTATCCAGTGGCTTTCCAGTGTATGTCTTAATCACTGATTTCAACCGTTCATTTAGTATCCATTCTGTAGTGGGGTCACTCACTGGAGATAAGCTGGAGGGTGGGAAATGTGTCTTGTTCCTCTTTGTAATGATCATGCTTTTATAGGGCCTGCCATAGTCAGGTCCTCAATCTGTGTTCTTTGAGTGAATGACCAAAGAGGCAAGGGAGTGAAGGAATCTGTGAGTGAGTCAATGAATAGGTGAGTGGATTAATAGATAGGGGTGCGAATGAATGAATGGGTAGGGGTGTGAATGAATGAATGGGTGGGGTGTGAATAAATGAATGGGTAGGGGTGTGAATGGATGAATGGGTAGGGGTGTGAATGAACGAATGGATAGGGGTGTGAATGAATGAATGGATAGGGGTGTGAATGAATGAATGGGTAGGGGTGTGAATGAATGAATGGGTAGGGGTGTGAATGAATGAATGGGTAGGGGTGTGAATGAACGAATGGATAGGGGTGTGAATGAATGAATGGATAGGGGTGTGAATGAACGAATGGATAGGGGTGTGAATGAATGAATGGATAGGGATGTGAATGAATGAATGGATAGGGGTGTGAATGAATGAACAGAAAGGCATTTCATTTGCTTTCTGAAACTAGCAGGTACCTCAATGCTAAACTTGAACAGAAATGCTACAGGCCTATACCACTTAAAATTTAATTCATAGGTAGAATCCTAAAATGAAAATTTAACAGACCAAATTCAATAGCACATTCAAGGAATCATCTAGTCTGTCCAAAGAGGGTTTCTTCTAGAACTGCCAAAAAAAGTTTCCTATTGAAGAAAGTGGTGCTGGTGGTGTGGGAATGTAAAGTGTTACAATCATTGTGGAAAGCAATCTAGCAATATGTATATATCTTTTGAGCCAGGTATTCCACTCCTGGGAATCCATTTCCCAGAAGCAAGAGCACCAATGTATGAGAATCCTTGTACAAAATGGTCATTGCAGCCTGGCTCCTGGTAGCAAAAAGTGGTCAGGTAGTTAACTGTGTGATGGTGCATGCATGCGTGCTACAGGCTATTCAAGAGGATGACTTAGAGCTAGTTAGCACGGTTTCCTTAGGTAACTGCGGGGAAGTTTGTACGGAAAGATGTCTAAAGAATGAGAATGAGCCCCAAGCAAGGACTACAAAGGGAAGGAAATCCACGGGCTGCAGACTTGCTGGTTGAACCAGTTTGGAAGTATTACTTCCTTTGACCTCAGTTTTCCCGATTACAGGACACCGGCGACAATTAGATGAATTAACACGCAAAGTGCCATGGCCGTAGAGATAACGGACAGCTGTGAGTTATTGTCACGGCCTAGCTTGTTGTTTGTTTGTTTGTAAACCTGAGTAGGAAAATCAGAATTCAAAGAAGAGCAGGAGACAGACGCACCCGGTTGTTGACCTCCTTATGTATTGTGGAGACAAGGGGGGGGGGCTGACGTGGGATGGAGAGTGAGAAGGCCCATGTAAAGAAAGAAGTGCTCACTTCACGTTTGTGAATTGAATTGAGATTATGGCATGTGGGACTATCATAGAGAAGCTCGTTACTTTTAACAGAGAACTTCGTTATTCAGTATATGAAATGAATTGTTCCAGGAAGAACACTGGGGCCTTGTGTGTGCCGAAGGCTCTTAGCAGAGCGGGGTAGAGCCTGGTGTCACTTTAGCTGTCTGTAAGGAGCTCTCAGCAGGTGCTTACATATTTTAAACAACAGGCCTGATGGGAAAACACTACAAAGGGGCTGGTTGAAGAATGCATTTACTGGAACTACTAATTCCACGCTGGCAGATAAGCGGGCTGGGGGCGGGGAAGAAAGTGTCCACAGTCAAAAACGTGTTTGGTAACACGTCGGTTGCAAGCAGCACATGCCTGGACCACAGGACCATGAGCCTGGCAGAAGTGTGTGCTCCTTTCTCACCTTTAGGTTCTAGAAAATGCTGCTTCCTCAGAGGAACCTTCCAGACTCATGCTGTTCAAGGATGTCCCGGTCCTTCCGTCTTCTGCCACCTCATACTCTTACTGTCAGTTGTCACCACTGAAAGTTCACTAGAATGTCGCAATATCTTAAAGTTTTTGTCTCCTCATGTGCTAGTGTTATTTACATTGTAATTTAGTGGACTCTTGTCAGTCTGCCAAAGTCTTTAAAAGGCATTTAAAAAATAACTTTTCCTTTAGAGGCAGTTTCTGTGGCCACTGCAGCAGAGTCACGATTAGGGAATTTCTCCTTCATGGACAGGTTATGGGGAGGAATTCCAGATCACACTGGGGTCTCAGGCCCCTGTTTCTCATCTTTGTGAAGGCGATGTGGCTTCTTGTCCTATCTGGAAGTGTTGTGTGCATAGTCCATTGTAGTTTTATGAAGTCTACCTAGATCACCTAATGAAAAGGACTTGGCATTAGCAAGACAGAGTTTAATGGCTATCCCACAAAGGTCACTTTGCAAAACCCGTCACAGTGAATTTGAGAGAGCGTTCTTGTAACAACTTCCTAGCTCTGTATGTTAAGATCTTAAATTCAGGGCCTCCCTGCCATATTTTTGTATGCGGTGCACAGTAGACATTTCCAGAACGGAAATGCTTCCCTACTTATGATCTTAGAAAATAACTGTGTTAAGCCTTTAAATTCGAGCACTAGTGCCGTGTGTGTAAAATCTGCTCTTCACTTTTGTGCTGTGCAGACGCGATGATAGTCACCAACTTTCTGAGTGCTGGCATCTCTAGCAGCTACTCTTAGATAAAAAACCTCATCTCTCCCAAACCCATAAGCACAGATGGGCTTTTTAACTGTGTTCAAATACTTTCTTCTCCCCCAGGTCCTTGCAAACATGGAAGACATTAAAGTCCGTGAAATACAGATTTTTGACTACAGGAAGAAAATTGCTGAATCAGAGACTAAACTAAAGCAGCAACAAAACCTGTATGAAGCCGTGAGGTCAGACAGGAACCTGTACAGCAAAAACTTGGTGGAGGCTCAGGTATCGGTGTTCGTGTCCTTACCTGGTAGATATTCAGGTAAACAGTGTGTGTGTGTCCTTACCTGGTGGAGACTCGGGTAAACAGTGTGTGTGTGTGTGTGTGTATGCCCTTACCTGGTGGAGACTCGGGTAAACAGTGTGTGTGTCCTTACCTGGTGGAGGCTCAGGTAAACAGTGTGTGTATCTTTACATTTTGATTTCTCTCTACCCTAGGTTTAAAGAACTTCCTATTACTCTGCGGGCAGTGTTAGGCAATACTAAGGAAGCCTGCTCCATCTGCATGAATTACTATCAGTTTCTACACACTGTCAAGTTGCAGGAAGTGGGAGTGCCAGAACTCAACAGCCCACAGAGAGTGCAGCCTCATTTACATTGCTGTATAGGATTGCTGCTCTTACCTCGGGTTTTAGATTGGTTGTTAGCTGCCAAGACTTAGAGTGCAGTTGTATATATTCCTTCTTGTTTAAACTGCAGTCCTGGCTTTGGCATCTTTTTTACGATGATTTTTGTGCTTCTAACTTCTTTAGTCAAAGGAGATAATGTTCCTGTGTGTGTGTGTGTGTGTGTGTGTGTGTGTGTATGGTGTTTGAGCATCTGTGCTACATAGTGCACTGTTTATATGTTGTGTGTCTCCTGAGACTCTTCCGTGTCATTGCTAGAAGGTACTTTGATGTTGATGGACACAAGAGACAAAGGAATAGCCTAGTCAGGGTTAGTCAGGCACTGTTTTGAGAGAGCTCTTAAATAAATAGTGAACTTCCATGCAGATGATGGTGTCTGTCTGGTTTCCAAACCTTTCTCCCTTCCTTTTGGTTAGGATGAAATAACAGAGATGAAGAGAAAGTTAAAGATCATGACGCATCAAGTGGACCAGCTGAAGGAAGAGATCTCCGCCAAGGAGTCGGCGCTAGTGAAGCTGCACCTGGAGCAACAGCGCATCGAAAAGGAGAAGGAAACCCTGAAGGTACTGGGCTAAGGGCAGGCGCTCTGGGCTGGCATCTTCCTGGCGGATGCAATTCCTGCTCACCAGAAGCACCAAGGGGCAAGGAGAGCAACCAGGAATGGTTACCTGTAGCCTCAGTTGCTAAGATCCAGAGGCCACCCACACCAGGTGCTGGGAAGATTACCTTTGCCATCTCGGCCTTGGTCTCCTCACAGGTGATGGTCCCGGTCCAGTGGGGGAGGAGAGTGGCAGATGCCCATGGCTCCTAGCTCATTTGTGACCAATATGCCTCAGTGGAAGAGAAGCTAACATGTTGGTAGTGCCCAGGAAGTCCTCGACTTTATAGGTTACCTACCACCCATTTGCATTTACAACCCATGACGAGCCCTGTGTTCATACCTAACACACCCAGATTCCACTCTGGGCTTTCAATGAGATGCTATTTGTCTGTCTGCCCCTAATTGCCACTCCTTTGTGTGCAGGTGACTTTTCTGTCTGCAGTGTAGTTACCTACCATGTGCTAGAGCATTTCCATCTCTTGGTTTGCTGGGACCAGGTTCATGATTGACTTTGTATCTAGGGTTCTCGACCTGTGTAGCTTCTCCTTCCAGAAACACCTCTTTCCACAGACCTTACAAAAACACACTTGCTTATTTGTTTGCTTTTAAAAATGTTTCTGGGGGTGAACTCAGGCCCTTGTACATCCAAGACATTCTACTATTGAGCTATATATCCAGCCCTTGGGTTTTTGAGACAGGGTCTTCCTAAGTAGCTCAGGCTGGCCTCGAACTCATGAGCCTCTGGCCTGTACTACTTACTACTACTTCCCCTCCTCCTCTTCCTTCTTCTTCTTCTTCAAAATAAATTTATTTATTTATTTTACATCCCAGTCACAATTCCCCTCCCTCCTTCCATCCCCCTTCTGTTCCGCTCCTCCTGTTTCTGTTTAGGAAAGGGCACATCTCCCATGAGTATCAAGAAAACATGGCATATCAAGTTGCAGCAAGACTAAGTATCTCCCCATGTATTAAGCTGAGAAAGGTGACCCAGTATGAAAAGTAGGGTCCCAAAAGCCAGTAAAAGAGTCAGAGACAGCCCCTGTTCCCACTGTTAGGAGTCCCACAGGAAGGCCAAGCTACACAACTGTAGCATATATGCCTAGGTCAGTCCCATGTAGGCTCCCTGGTTGTTGGTTCAGTCTCTGTGAGCCCCTTTGAGCCCATGTTAGTTGATTCTGTGAGTATTCTTATGATGTCCTTGACCTCTCTAGCTCCTACAATCCTTTCTCCTCATCTCTAAGATTCCCCAAACTCCAACTACTGTTTAGTTGTAGGTCTGTACCTGTTTCCATCAGTTACTGGTTGACACCTCTCTGATGACAATTGGGTTAGGCACCAATGTGGTCACTGGGGTTGACCGAACCACTACCTGTACTTCTTTAGTGCTGGGATTATAGCCAGGTACCTCCACATCCTAATAGACAAGCGCTTTAAACCTACAAGTTTAGAACACTCACATACATTAAGACAATGTAAGATAGAGTCCCCTTCTACCTCATCTGACCAAGGGACTGAAATGAGGAACATCTAAGAGGGTGATGGAATTTCAGTGTAAACAATCTACATGCACAATCCTTAAGGATGTATAAGATCCACCTGTATCTTTATTTTTTTAAATATTTATTTATTTATTAGGTATACAATATTTTGTCTGTGTGTATGCCTGCAGGCCAGAAGAGGGCACCAGACCCCATTGCAGATGGTTGTGAGCCACCATGTGGTTGCTGGGAATTGAACTCAGGACTTTTGGAAGAGCAGGCAATGCTCTTAACCTCTGAGCCATCTCTCCAGCCCCCCACCTGTATCTTTATAGCATGTCAGAGGCATGTAGCATGATGAATAGAAACCCAGAGACAGACATTAGTTCAACCTGAAGGTCAGAAAAGCAAAACAGCCAGCCACTGGCTTTTACCTTTACCTCGGTCAAAAGTGGTGATCCTGCCTCCAGGAATCTCAGAATGAGACTGTGTGTGAGAGCTGTCTCTTCTCCTCTTATATTCCTCTCTAGGACTGGGATTAAAGGCATGCACCAATACTGCCCAGTTTCTATGGCAAACTAGTGTGGCTACTGGGATTAAAGCTGTGTGTCACCACTGCCTGGTCTGTAAGGTTGATCAGTGCAACTGAGTTACTCTCTGAACTTCAGACAAGCTTTATTTATTAAAATACAAATGAATTACTACAGAGGCCGAGTGCTATGATTTCTGCAAACAGTGGCTTTCAAAGATAGACATTGTCATGTGCGCGTGCACGCAGTACCATGTAGGTTTAATGCCACATTTCCTTGATTCTAGGATGCCATAGTCTGAAATATGTACTCTTAATTTAATAACAGCTTTGACGCTCTAATGATAGGTTTTCATGGAAATGGAACTGTTGCATTAAATTAATTTAAGACGCACTCAGTATGAGAGAGATTAAACTATGGCAAAAGTGTCTTTATGAAAAGAATGTGGTAATAGATATATTTATTTAGGACTCTATCCCCATCACTCTAGCTCAAGAAAAAGCATGGAGAATTCTTCATGCAAGCTTACTGATATATAAAGAACTTTACAAATTTTGAAACTATTCTGCATTCGTTCTTATTCTTATTCTTGTTCTTATTCTTGGTCAAAAGTTGTTTAGCTGGGGGATGGTTTGTTTTATCCCAGAGTCACTAGCAGGATGGGGTTTAGTTACTGTTGAACAAACTGGAAAAATCTCATTATAAACCCCGCTGCACCAGGGGCCTCTTGGACCACATTAGCAAGGCTTCAGTGTAATAAACTTTGCTAATTGGTATATCATCTCTTTCTCCTGGAGGAGGCACCGATTCTCATCTCTGCTTCCCAAGTGATGCCCAATTCTGAAGATTAACCATAGTGAAGTCCAAGTTGGAATTAAATGCTTCCCATGGAATTCACTTTAGAATAAACAGTGTCCCATACTTACTTCCTATTTCTTCGAGTTTGCTGTTAGATTGTATCTATTTTAATGATACCTTCCATTATTAGGCATCTAAAACATAGCACCAAAGAAACATCATAATAAGAGAAAGGGACTTAGGCTGTGCATTTATACATGCTTGGGCATCGGAGTGGGCAAAGAGCAGATACGAGGGTGACTAAAAGGCCTCTGCCTGGGAGATGGACTCCCAACAGGGAGTCTCAGGTCTGGATGGCTTTGGCCGCTGGTTTTAGGAAGGTGATGGTTTTGGGTGTGCAGGATAAGTGGGGTTACCAGCATTTCTCACTGAGGGAAGGGTGAGTAATAGAGAGAGAATGAAGCTTGTTTGATTTCTTATCTGAGGTTATCCGAGGGTGACTGGTCGGTCATGGTGCTGTGAATATGGATAATTCTGACCTATCGTTGAGTCTGTTTGACATCCCTGTGAACACTATGACAGCTCATATGTGGAGTTCCAGCTTGTTGAGCGGTTTAGACTAAGAATTTGAATCACATTTCCACACTGGCCTCTGGGCTGCAAGTATGTTCTGTGTGAAAACTAAAACCCCAGAGGGAAGAGCAGATTCTCTAGGAACTTTGCCCACAGAGATATTTTTCTTTTATTCTAAAAACTATGTGGGTACATAATCCCTTTGGAGGGGCACAACCTCACAGACTCAGTAGATCACAAGAGGAATTTTTATAGGACAACTCAACTTACTACTTCCCAAAGCCTCCAGACTGATGGTTGTCATAGGAGGTCACCTGCACCCCACTCAGTCCCCTCATCCAAACAATTTTCTCTTTGCATCTTTCTTAACCCCTCTCTGTTGGCCCCAGTCTCTGCTGACTCGGGATCACAGGCACCGTCAGTGCATCCTGCCTCTGACAGCATGCCGGTGGATCTCTGCAGATCAGGCTCCATCTGCAGCCTTCTGTTCACTTCACTCCATTCTCATTTCATCGACTCTGAAGGAGTCTTCTCATTTGGAATGCCTGCCTTCCTGTCCTAACAAGCCCCCAATGCTGTCTCGCCTCTTCCCAGCCATCCTGCATCTGCTTGACAGCACTTTGATTCCCTGTGAATAATGCAGCAGTAAGTTCTCTGCCTCCAGAGCTCGGTAGCACATTAGGGACTGGCCTCAGGGTACCACATCCTTCCACTTAGTGATTCTGTCCAACGACATGGATGGGGAGCTGGTATCCATGGGAGGCACGGGGTGGCGGATGAGAAAAAGCCTAATTACACCTGTGGCTGAAGACTTGGGTGGTACATGCATGAGCCAGTGAGACTCTCCCAAATGTGGCTCTTGGGATACAGTTTGCGCCCAGTGTCATATTTGATGATAATCAGTCCATAAGTACTGATTTCAAAATTATACAACCCTGAAGCTGAACAAAATTGTTAGTGAAGGGTGTGTCTAGTCATCTCACTGTAACCTCCTGCCACCAGTACTGCATTTAGCAGGTGCAGCAACTTGAAGTCCTACCTAGGATGTTGCCTGGTAGGTGTGCAGCTGCTGGGTGCATAGTGGCTGTCACCCTTCCTGAGAGGCAGCTCAGATTTATAACTGCTAAATGTATTAGGCCCTAGGTATTTTGTTGATGCTAACATTTGCTGCCAATGCCTAATGCCACATCTTGTTTACAGCCCATAAATTTACGACACAAGGAGACCACTCAGAATTTTGATCCATTATGAAAAAGGTACCCAGCAATGCCAGACGCACGGCTGGTTTTACATTTCAGACAGATACTTTTACACACTGTTGATTGCATTTTAATATAACAAGGGTTTCATTTTGTTCCGCTGATGGATTCTGATCCGCTCTTGGCACTTAGGGACAGAGAAGTGAGTGCGCAGATATGGGAAAATAAAAGTTTTATGAAGGGAAGCGTGAGCCAAGCAGGTATTTCATTGCTGTCTTCACTGTCACCTTAGATGATTACAGAACCAGACAAGGCTGGTTCTTCACTCTGGTTTCCAACAGGCACCCCCCTTGAATGGTAAATTCTAGGCCCAACCTTTCCTCAATCAGTATTTCATTTTGCTTATCCCTGAATCAAAACATTTCATGAATGAACAACACAAAGTGCCATCAAAGAAAGCCTGGCTTCACAGTGGCTAGTTGTACTTATTATGTACACTATACCTCTAACAGCGGGTGTGCACCGTCTCTTACTGCTTGGGTAAGCTGCAGTGTGCAATTCATGACTCCTGGCCCTCATAGGCTCGAACCAGGCCTTGATCTCAGTTGGGCTGCTGTACAAGTCTTTTATTATTTTGGTGAGTTTGAGCGTGGGGTTCCCAAAAGTCACCTGAAGGACAAAAAATAGTATAAGCCTTGTGCTGTCATTTATAGCAAACCTCTCTCTCTCTCTCTCTCTCTCTCTCTCTCTCTCTCTCTCTCTCTCTCTCTCACGCACACACACACGCACACACGCGCACACACACACTGGAGGCCAGCCACTCACTTTCCCATCTCTATTCTTGTGATTAGAGGGATGGGAAGGCAGAGCTCCTCCCCCTCATTGCTCTCCCCTGTGCTGACTGGTCAACTGTCCCACTGTCCTTCCTGGCTGGCCATGGATCCCCCCCCTAAAACACATTCTTCTTTCCTTTAACATGGAACTGCTGGTTCCTTGTTGCAGACTCTTCATAGTGTATTCGATCAGATGATCCATACCAGGCCTGCCAAGCTGTTTGTCAGCCTCTCTCCCTCCCACCCCCAGCCTGGCCCGCTGGTCCAGCCTCGAAGGGAGCACTGTTCTGTCTGCTCAACACAGCAGATGTTTCAGTTTGCTTGAGCTAATTCATATAGCCCGACTGCTGGATGCCTCCCTCCGACACACACCTCTCCAGCTGGGCGTCATCTGTCACCTGCCTAGGACTTGACGCATTCTTCTCTTGTCAATCCCAAGCAGGCACGTAAACTCCTTCTTGTGTGTGCTCACGCCCTTTGCCATCCCAGCCGATGGCACGTTCATGCTGTCGGTAGCTGTACCAGTCATCCTGAGCGGGTAATGAATACTCTTACTCATTTGATTTGTAACTCTTGGATGCAGGCAGTAGGCAGAGCACAGCGCTTTTGCGTCAAAAGGATCCTGCTTGGAGATCTTAACTTCAGTATTTACTAACTCGGTGACATTGGCTAAACTATGTGTTTCCCTTTGTCTCTGTGCAGGGACACACAGTGTCATGCTTGGCATATCGTAAGTCACTTGTGTGCTGTGAAACAGATAGAAGTGGTTTTGATGGCAAGGATTTTCCTTTCCTAACTTAATAGCCCCTTCCCCCATTTCCCTGCGTTTTTAGTGAACCCCACCTTAGCCTCCGATGAACCTTGGTTCAAGTGTGAGGTCCCTGAGGCCTCTGCTAGGTGATAGTTGGATGCCTTTTCCTTTGACTTCCTGTGTTTGCAACTCACTGTGTACATGGAGGGCAGCTGGGGAAAGAGTCAGTGCAATGCTTCCTGTGCAAGCATGCTAGCTTGACCCTAGCATTCATCTAGCAAGCCTGGCAGAGATAGACAGTGGTATCCATGTATAATTCCAGTGCTGAAGAGGTAGGAGCAGGTGGTCCCTGGTTGCTGGTCAGGCAACCTAGTCAAATTGCTGGGGCTGGGACCCAATGAGAGACCAACATATGACACTGACCTCTGGCTTCCACACAGATGTGCATCTGCATACGCACGCATGTGCACATACATACCTAAATGTTCACAGTCACAAAAATAGCAAAAAGGATACTGAAAATTGTTGCCTGAACTCAAAAATGTGCCTCTTAGTTGCATGCTTCTTATATATCATATCTTCATTTCCATATCAGAGATTTCTTAAGAATTTTTTAAAGATCATAACCGTTCTGTCGTATCAAAATGTTTTGTGAGAGATGCTTCGCTGCTGTTTTTGACTAGTTTAATTCATTCTCATAACAGACCTTCTCTTGGTAGTGAGTGTGCCGGTTGTGGTAGGACCACTAGAGAGGTTGGTATGTGTAGACACCTTCCCCGTCCTCACCCACACCCTCTTCCTGAACTGTTTTTAGTGAATTGTATTGGGGAGGGGGAGATGCTGCTGAATTCCAATGAGGCCCCTTCTCTGCTTATACAGAAGAGCGATAGGAAACTCTTAGGGCACAGCCTCCAGAAAGACCAGGATCCCTGGGCACTGTTGATTCGCTGGTTCTTGTGGGTGTGCAGGCTCAGGCACACTGAGCTTGTTTGGGCTGTGGTGGTGCTGGCCCTCTGTTAAATGAGACACGAGAGGAAAGCACAAGAACCATGGCCGTGCGGCCAAACCCAGCCCACTGGTCCTGCTTAAGCGACTGCTGAATGCGATGTGTCTGAATGGCCCACTCTCTATCAGGCTGAGCTGCAGAAGCTGAGACAGCAGGCCCTGGAGACCAAGCACTTCATTGAGAAGCAGGAGGTGGAAGAGCGGAAACTCTTGCGCATCATCGCCGAGGCTGACGGGGAGAGGGTGCGGCAGAAGAAGGAGTTAGACCAGGTAGAAGCGCCTTGTCATAGCCCCCCCCACAAGCAACCGTGAGTCCGTTGCCCTTGGCAGCTCATATGTGAAGATCAGCAATAGAGTCTTGGGCCGACTGAGAAATAATCACCCATCCCATCCACAGTGATGACCACTTCTTGGCATCAGTTATTCTTCTAAGCACTGGGGACATGCTGGCCAATAATCCTGTTTCCAGGGAATTTAAACTGTAATATAATATAGCTGCCCATATATAAGTGCCAGTTATAATTACATGATAGAAACTCATGTGCATAATTTAGGGATTAGAAAAAAAATTCTTTAAAAAAATGGTCTCCATATGTAGACTAGGCTGGTCTTTAATTGGTTATCTCCCTGCCTGAGCCTCCTGAAATCTGGGGTTGTAGCTGAGAGGCTTGTGTCACCTACTCTACTGCACTGCAGAAATCCAGATGCTCTCAGGGTCCTGTCTGGAGAAGCTGGTCAGTGTGGATTGTAAGAAGTGATGGACAGGAGCTGGCCTGACGGAAAAGCACTCACACTGAAGCATTTTTAAAAGACAGGTTGGAGGTGCTGGAGCAATGGCGCAGGGGCTGAGAGCACTGGTTATTCTTCTAGAGGACTGGGGTTCAATCGTCAGGACCTGAGCTATGGTGCACAGCTGTCCGTAGCTCTAATACCAGGGGACCTGATTCCCTCCCCTCTCCTGGCCTCTGGGGATACTGTACGAACCAGGTGCACAGATACATGTGCACAGGAAAACGCATCTAAAAATAAGTACATTTCTAAAACTTAAAAAAATTACCTTGGGAAAAACACCTGAAGGACACAGCTTCAGGGCAAGGATCCCTGGATTATCTGTCCATGGCTATTCAATGGGAGAAATGCCATGCTGAGTACCTAGTGGGGTGTTTCCAGTGTGCTGCCCACGGGGCATGTGTGGACACAGGGTAGATATTTGTGCATGAGTTGGATGCTGACATCATGGTGAAAAGGGAGACTTTTTTTTTTTTTTCACTCCAAGAGGCCATGTCTTTCCAGGTCATCAGTGAGAGAGACATCCTCGGGTCTCAGCTTGTTCGGCGCAACGATGAGTTAGCCCTGTTGTACGAGAAGATCAAGATCCAGCAGTCTGTGCTGAACAAAGGCGAGACCCAGTATAACCAGAGGGTGGAGGACATGCGTATCCTTAAGCTGGAGATCAAGAAGCTGCGCAGGGAGAAGGGGATCCTCGCCAGGAGCGTGGCGAACGTGGAGGAACTCAGGTAGAGGAAGGTTGCAAAGGTCTGTGGGGAGCCCCCACAAAAGGGCCTCATATGGGTCTTCAAAGGCTGGCTAACCTGAAGAAACTCAGGTGGAAGGAGGTTGTGGAGGTCTGCAGCGAGCCCCCTCGGAAGGACCTCGTGTGGGTCTTTGAAGTTTTTAAGCAAATTACACAAAATGGACTTGATAAGATGAAAGGGTCCATTGAATGAAAACAACTTTTCCATAAATTCTCTTCTGTGCTCGTGCCGTGTCACAAAAACAGGCCCGTCTCCCTCCAGGGAGTGTAGGGGAGAGCAAAAAGGTCACTAAAGCACCTTTCTCTAGCTTTTTCAAAACGAAATTTCCAATCAAAGCACAAATACAAATAAGCACAAACCAGTAACAATTCATAATTTTTTTCCCCCTCGGTGAGTTCTTTGGAATTCCTTTAATTAGGTAGCATGCAAAAGACGAAGCATCAATATTTAAATGCCACCTTGATAACATATGCATCTCTTTTTCTTGGAATAACACATATGATGGAAAGAGGTGGAGAATTTAATTCTATCACTCTCTGAAAATCTGTTTCCTTAGAAGGCGGCCAAACTTCTACCTGCCTCTTCTTTTTTCCGCAGCTTCCACTTAGCTCACATCTTCCTTCTTTAAATCTTGCACCATGCAGCATCTGCTTTCCCTGTGGGAAAACATTGTGGGGTTCCATACGAGCCACTTCAGGGCACTGAATGAGAGAGCTGACATTCCTTGGTGACTTCCCTTATTCCCCACAGACCTGTACAAGTGCAGCTTCTCCTCGGCCACCCAGGGAGAAGGATATGGTTTGGATCTGATGCTTCTATTAGTTAGAGGAAAAGAGACTGATGTTCAGGAGTCGTGAGTTCGCTGCTATCAAGGATGGATCAATCCTTTTGTTTTTGGAGTTTTCTTGTCTTTCAGATAATGCACACAGTACATATTCATTGTAGAAATATGGGCAATGCAGAGAAGACACACAGAAGGGATTGGAAACATCACTCGCAACATTGCTACTCAGAGAGACCACCATTTGTGCTTCTTAGACAAGTGGGCTCATTCTAAGTAGCCGCTGAATGATCTTAAGGGCTGTCATTATATCTGTCAGCCATGAGTTATTTTTATGACCTACGAAAAGGACCAAATTCGACCCCTTCCTGTCAATATTGTTAGTTTGTTGATAATGCATTTTATTTCCCTTCCAAGGAGAGGGCAGTCTCAGGACAAACGGAGACAAGCAACCTCGCTATCTACCAGCTATGTGAGCTTGGGCAAGTGTCTCTGAGGTTTGGGCTTGTGGTTACAGTTCAAGGCAGTAGAAACAAACCCAATGTGCAGGGTCTCCTCCACAGTCAGTCCTCAAGTGTGGCAGCCTGTACTTTTTCCTTCCTCTCCCAGTGATGTTCTAGAAAAGCAAAGTGTTAAGGATATGCTTTTAATTCTAGGCAGCTTGTTCTGCACTCCCTGATGAGTGAGCATCATGCAGTTAATTCTAATGGTTTGTCTTGTTAATGAGGGGAAGTTGTATTATTGGTTTAAATGAAGCAATTAAGTAAAAGAGATGGCTTCATGTTAGTAATCCACACACCCACGGCAGATGAGGACAGATCGTAATGTCTTTACCGCGTGAGTCAAAGCAAGCATTCGCCCCTTCTCCTTCTCCAGCAGAGGTTTTGGTAACTAGAATCGCTCAGGATGCCGAGGGTGGCATTACCCAGAGATGCTCAGAGACTTTTAGAAGCACATTTAAAACAGAGCTGGGGCTTCAGGGCTTTTAAAAAGCCACCTATGCTTGCTGGCTGTGGGACTTAAGGTAGAATATCTTCATTGCTCCAAGCTCAGCATCTCCAAATCCAGGCTGCAAATTGAAATTATCCACAGGACTTTTCAAACCTATGAAATGGGGGCCCTGCACCACACCCCATGTAGCAGAGGTCCTCTGGGGAATGGGTCCATGCAAAGGGATGTTGGGAGCCCTGCATGTGATTCCTCTACCCAGTGAAGATGGAAGTCAGAGACCATAATTGGTGCTGGCTTGTTGCCTGCACTACAGTAACTCACTGTCAAGTGTGGAACTTGCAATATTGAGTGTTCACCCCGATCACTACTATAGAGACAGAAACACTGAAATGTATTTTTGGGATTCTCAGGGTTCACTTCCTGACCTGGTGTGAACAGAGACTGTTCTTTTGTTTCCCAGCCGCCCAGACCCAAATAATCACATAGAAACTATATTAATTACAACACTGTTTGGCTAATAGCTTAGATGTATTCCTAACTAGCTCTTATATCTTAAATCAACCCATTTATATTAATCTGAGTATCACCATGAGGCTGTGGTCTACTGGTAAGGTTTTAGTGTCTTTCTCCTTTACCGCTATGTGGTGTCTCCCTGACTCTACCTTCTTTCTCCCTGCATTCAGTTTAGTTTTCCCACCTAGCTCTATTGTGCCCTGCCATAGGCGAAAGCAGCTACTTTATTCACATCATACAGAGTGGAATCCCACATCATCTCAACTCTGCTGAATAAAAAGGAAGGTTTTAACTTAACATAGTAAAATTACATATACAAAACAGTTATCAAGCAAGAATTAGTCTATTTGTACTAGGCAAAAATAAAAGAAAATATTCTATCATCTATCTTTGTGAGTCTAAATTTCATATCTCATTTATTTTTTATTATAACTAATGAAAACTGTAACTATAAATGTCTTCAACTCCATCAAAGATCCCAGAAGGGATATATTATTACCTAAGTAAACAGGAAGTGCATTGTAAGCATCTTCCAAAACTCTAGAATTGACAGAGACATCTTGCTGTCTGGACAGTCACCCAGAGTTCTTCTTTACTATTGAGGCATCCATCTTCAGCCTACAGGCCCATAGTATCCAGCAGACCTTTTCATGAAGCAGGAAATTTGAAAGACTCGCCTATGTTGGCAGTTTGTCAATCACTTTCTTTTGTGTTCTGCAGAATGTCTGACAGAGTCTTTCATGAAGCAGCGACCCTGAAGGATTATCTCACCTTCTTTTGGCAAGGTCATCAGTCATTTTTCTGTGGGTCCTGCATGTCCAGTTTATACACATACCATCAAACAGTCCAGGCAAGAGCAGTTTCTTGCCCAAATGGCTAGCCTTGTCACATTGAAGGAAAATTCCATAATGAGTTTCTTCAGTGCCCATCAACCTTTCTGAAGTAATTGGTGCTGCCAGAAGCAGACATGTCTCCACATCGAGAATAGTCTAAGTTCTTAAAATATTTAAATTCCATATTTTGTAGGTCTTCGAAGTGTTGAAAATTATCTATCAAGTGAAATATATCTCTGTGTATATAGAAACCTAACATAATTAAAAGTTTGATTATAAATGGCTACCTCTTAATCTGTATTTCTTAACTATACATTACATTTTAAATGAACTATATAAACATAACTTAAGCAAGAATAGAAATACACATATAACAAAATTGACCTTAATTTTATATCAATAAACCAAAGTTCACACCGATGCAAAGTATTCATTTTAATATCATATCTTCCTTTTTTTTTAAGAAAGAGATTGACAGTGACCATTAACCACTTATACCGAACCCCTTTTAAATGAAAACCAACATTTATAAACAATTGTTTTGGGGCTTTGGGCATAGTTTTCTTCAAACTTCTTCCTGCTGTTAGTTGGGCAAAGTATTTTAGGGTTTGTGAGACCTTTGTGGGGGGAATCTTGTTCCACCAAACCCCATTAGCCTGGAAGGAATTCACAGTTTCTCATCTTCTGTAGAAACAAAAGCAGAACACCTTTTACAAAGTAACAAATCCATAGACTCAAATTTTGAAGTCAAAATACCTTTAAAATATATGTGTTGATTTAACTTAGCAGCCCTATAATCAAATGTCTCTCTGTAGTCAAAAAATTAAAAGAAAACACAAGAATATACATAATCTAGACTCTCTGTGTATAGTCCATCTTCATGTGGCTTATTTTTTTCTTTACTCTATTACTTTTTAATATTTACTCCTTTGATCTTTTGACTGTCTGTACTCTTTTATATTACTTTTACTGTTTCTTTAAAGATTTTTACTTTTTAAAACTATTTCTTTCTACAACTGCCTATACCTATTTTCCTTTTTTTCCCTTAAGCCTATGTACATTTTAAACATTCTGTGACCCATTCAGAGGTTTATTTTTGTCTGAATCTGTCTTTATTGTGTATCTGTAATTATTTGCTGACCAGGAGAGCTTTTTTTTTATGTTAAGCAGGCATAGCTTGGACTAACACTGTGGCTTTGTCTGTTGGCCCTGCCCCATCCAACATGGTGGAGGTAGGTTCTCTGCCTCTGCGAGCCATGCTCATCACCCCAGCTCCACGGATGCAGTGGGTCTGTGTCACCATTAAGCATCTTGTAACACTCTGCTCACAAACCCTATTTAAATTCTCTGTAACAGGACTGCCTGAAAGAGCCAGAGTCATTCTTGCTGCCAGTACAAACCAGGAAACCATTTCCTATAGGAGCTGCACCTTCACTTGCTGCCCACAATCAGAGCCTATCTGAAAAAAAAAAAATGTAGCTACCAAGAAGTTTTTCTTGGCTCCCATTTTTGTGGATCCAGAAGCCCTCTTTTTTTTCCTTAAGCTTTTTCAGGTTTTATATGGATCCATGTCCCAGACAGTAGGTGCCATTTGTAAACAGAGACTGTACTTTCATTTCTCAGATGCCCAGATCCGAATAACTACACAGAGACTATATTAGTTACATCACTGTTTGGCCAATAGCTTAGGTGTATTCCTGGCTAGCTCTTACATCTTAAATTAGCCCATTTCTATTAATCTGTGTATCACCATGAAGCTGTGGCCTACTGGTAAGGTTGTGTCATCTTTCTCTTTTGGCAGCTACATGGAGTCTCCCTGACTCCACCTTCTTTGTGCATTCAGTTTAGTTTTCCCACTTAGCTCTGTTGTGCCCTGCCATAGGCCAAAGCAGCTACTTTATTAACCAATGGTAATAAAGCATGTTCACGACATACAGAGGTGGAACCCTACATCAACCTGGTACCTTTCATATGCTTCTAAATTCCTCAAACCTTCAGAACCAAGATTCTAAAGGCTGCTGTTGCTCAGAGCTGAGGTAGTTCCTGAACTCCAAATGAATTAGTATTCTTGTGACCTGCCTAGGTTTGGGAAGCTGGTCTCTCTCAGTGCAAACAAGTTTCCCAGTTCCAGATTTTTATGCCAGATACAGTGTGTCTACAGTGATCAAATCATTAGTTTTTTTCCCCCATGTGTATATGTGTTATATACATGTATGAGTTGGGGCACACATGTGAGTGTGCACATTGTGAATAGAGGTTGATGTCCCGTGCGTTCCTCAATCATTTTCCACTTTGTGAGATAGGTCTTTGATTGAATCTAGAGCCCACAGACCCAGCCTGTCTGGCTAGCCAGCTTATCCGGGGGATCTCCTGATTCAGTCTCTCCAGTGGTGGGATTATGTGTGGGTCAGTATTCCTGGTTGGCTTTTACATGGGTTCTGGAAATTTGAACTCTGGTCCTTATGAATTTCAGGGCAAGTGTTTTTTTGTGTTGAGCACTCTCCCTGAAGCAAAAAATAGCATATTCAAGAGTTCTTTGCCAAACAAAGTTTGTCTTATCCAGGCAGGAGCTTTTCCACATGCAAAGAGAATTCTTGAAGGAAAGGACAAGATGTCGAGCCCTGGAGGAGGAGCTGGAGAACCCCATGAATGTGCACAGATGGAGGAAGCTTGAGGTAACACCTGCTGAGCACACTTCCTGTCCCCAGCTTTCCTCTCCACACACCCAAGACTCCTAACCTAAAGCAGGGTGAGAGGTTCCCTTTAGTTTCATGATATGCATATTGTCACCTATGAGGTAAAACTGAATCAAATGTAAATTAGGTTGTTTTAGAACCAGATGGTTAATTTGACTTTAGCTTTAAAAGTCTTGGACAAAATCCTACCTGCCCCTAAAAAGACCCTTTGAAAGCTATATACATTGCTTTCATTGATGGGTATGTATCTTGCTTTTCAGGTAGTTTTGATCTTTGGATTGACTATTAATTGCCTTTGGCCATCTCTCCCACCAACGTCTTAGCCATCTTTCAATTGGGTTTGCATTTTTTCGTTTCCTGAAGGAAATAGGGTTCGGTGACTCAAATCTTTTCAAAGGCCTAGACTGTGATAGCCAACCCCTTTCTCTTAGGACCTGGGGTTAGAGCCGAAAGTACTCCTGGTGAAGGATGGGTAATCGACTTTTTCTGTGGCTCCTGTTAGGTAACATGAGCAGCTCAGCAAAGAACAGGCACAGACAAGCTCTTCTTGGTCAAGACAAAGATGGTCCCCTCTTTTAGTTGTACACAGCAATGTGGTGCCAAAAGGGACTTTGGCTAAACGACCAATTACGATGTTGAGAGATATAAGTCTATGGCACAGCAAAGTTCAGTGCGGGGTGGAAAATCATCCAGATAGGATTTTATTTTTATTTTCTTTTAATGAAGAAAGTATTAAAGTTAATGCATTATAAATTGTGTAAATACAAGGCCTGGATTTTAACAACATCCAGGACTGCCAAATGAATGTGTGCCAACTCATGTCCAGCTATGTGGGCATCAGCTGGTGCTGGGCAAGCAAAGTCAGAGGCAATGGAACATTCCTCTTTAGTGCCCCAAGTGGAACAGCTGACCAACCCAGTGATTACCAAGGATCCGCCTGGGAAATGGACCTGAAGCTCTCACACCTGCTTATATCACTGTAGTTGGAAACTGTTCCTGGCTGCCCAGACTCGAAATAATTATAAAGAAACTATATTATTTAAAACGCTGCTTGGCCAATAGCTTATGCATATTTTTAACCAACTCCTTTAGCTTAAATTAACCCATTAATTAAATTAATCTGTGCATCACCATAAGGTTGTGGCCTACAGGCAAGGTTCCAACATCTGTCTCCTCTGGTGGCTACATGGTGTCTCCCTGACTCAGCTTACTCTCTCTCTCTCTCTCTCTCTCTCTCTCCTCTCTCTCTCTCTCTCTCTC